GGAGCTATTGGAGCTACAAGGAGCCGTTAAAGGCAGAGAGTGAAATTCAGTGAATACACGTAGTTTACAGAGATGCTGTTTGAGAAACCAATGTGAGTTGCGTTTATCTTTACCCATGGATGCACAATAAGAACGGACCCATATCGTCTTACTGCCATCCCACGGAGCTGTAATCATGGATATATTGCACATGTTTGCTGTAATTCATTATTATACTACATGGGCTGTATGATTAAATCTTGTACCGTAAATGTTGTATTAAATCAAGTTAATATTACCGACGTTATTAACGTCCCTGTAGCTTATTATTGCACTAAGAAGCTTATTGCACTGTATATAAATATATATATATATATTAGTGCTGTCAAAATTATCGCGTTAACGGCGGTAATTAATTTTTTGAATTAATTGCGTTAAAATATTTAACGCATTTAACGCATGTGCAGAATCGCCCGCCCCATACGTGCCACCAGTGGCAGCGCCAGGGTATGGCTGGGGTAGGCTACACCCATACCAAGAAATGGCTTAGCCCCACCATGAAAAATGATGTTAAAGTAAGCAAAATAAAGTCTGCCAACTCGCGCGGAGTAAATTGTACAGACAGCTTTAGTAAGATTGATTTCAGTAGCCACGGTTTTGAAAACTTTTGTCACGTAGTGATCGTCTTCTCAATAGAACATCTTTGATAACGGCGTGGTGTTGTTGCAGGAAGTCCCGACTGAGAATACTTTTGCTGTAGTACAGGGGTGCACATAACTGGTACGCAGGTTATGTGCGTAATCTGAAATGCAGTGGCGAGCCGTGACTTTTATACCTAGGCCCTCTGACCCCCCCTCCCTCGAGAAAAAAAAGAAGAGATATTACGTCACAGCGTATACTTCAGCGGAATATCAAAACAGCGGCCCGGGGTGCAAAACGCATCAATGACAGCGAGCCTCTACCACACAAAACAACACCATTTATATAAACACCTATCATGACAGGGCACCCACAGACAAGTAACAATTACAAATGAATTAAGTCGGCACGGCGGCCCACATTGAAAATGACTTAGGCCTACCTTTGATGATCAAATCACTTAAACACAAAGTCCATCCTCCTGTCCTTTCGGATGAAGCACTTGCGGGTCATTCAGCTGAGCTGATCCTTTGCCACTCCAGTTTATCATTGTAATTCAATCTTGAAAATGACTCGGTTAATAATTTCGCAACGATGTCCTCACTATCACTGAAGTGAGCCATCATGAACGAACTTATGCTAATTATAAATCTATCGATCATAAATCTATCGATCTATCGAAAATAATAAAAGTAGGGTAGACAAGTGGATATTATCCGGCTGAACAAAACGTGAATTTATCTAACAGGTTCGTTTTCCACAGACCTTATTTCGAGCTATTTTCCAAAATCCTCTGGAGAAATCCCGTTGCTTTCTGTCGAGGGAATCCGAGCGAAGCTTACTTCCGGGTTTTAGGACGCGTCACTGCACCACTTGCATAGACCTCACAGCGGGCGGAACTTGTCATAAAGTCCGCGAAAATAAAGCCCGCCCATTTAGAGGGAAGATATGATTGGTCAATTGTACTGTCATTTGACATTACTCTCTCGTTGAGTTACTATAGCGGGCCCTCTGTGAATGTAGAGAGGGACCAACAAGCTCTCCCGTCTTCACATAACTCGCAGAGACGGCATTTAACCATTCACATTCCAACAGAAACTGAACAGGCAGATTCGAAGGATTTATTTCTTTAGAAATATTATTTAAAATACAATTAAATCAAGTTATTTTGGTAAAACTAATAAAAAATGTAACAACAAAAAAATATTCCAAAAAATATTTAAAAAAAACGTTTTTAAGATTTTTTTTTTTCAAATATTAGTTTTTAGAATATCTTAGGCCCTCACAGAGGGCCTAGAGGGCCCTGACGGCTCGCCACTGCTGAAATGCGTACCGTCACTTGTGTCACAAAGCGCATTTGCGTACCGACATACTTGTGAAGCTTTTCCAGAAGGCGGTTAGATCACCGGACGACAGAGTCGGTCTCCGTGTGCACAGACAGGGCTGCTGTTAACGTCGGTCTGTACAACGGAATTGTGCCAAAACTACGCCAACCGGCTGCGGAGGGAGACTCCCCCGACTTTCCTGAAGTACTCCCCCGTTGATAGAAATCAACACGTAATGAATTAAGACCCCACGGTTTGATGATTGATAGGTGTGTGGGTTGTCTTTCATTTTGACACGCAGAAAATGTTATAATAAACATAGATACTGTATGTTAAATGGATATATCCGCCTTCTTTCCATTCCCACAACAATATACATAAATAAATGGCATATTTTGGAAAATAGTTCGAATGGTGATTAATCATGATTAATTAATTTTTAAACTGTGATTAATCTGATTAAACATTTTAATCGTTTGACAGCCCTAATATATATATATATATATATATATATATATATATATATATATATATATATATATATACAGTGCAATAATTCTTTCATGCTAAATGAAGCTCTAGCTGTTGCTTGGATATCACTAGATCCTGTTACAGCGTAATATAAGTACATAACGATTGATGTACATTAGCATAATTACTAGCTAGCTGCTAACTGCCGCCTCGTTAATATCAAATCCATCATAATAACAAATCATTACCATGCTGTCATGAACGCGCGGTTCTGTAACTTACGTGTACGCAAATTGACGTACTTGATGTGAACGAGCATTTTGGTTAAAGTTGCGCATGCGCTATGAGCGCACATACGGGTACTTCTCAGGCATGCCGGGTAATCTGTGACGTTTCGCTCTCTCAAAAATTGGGCCATTTTATCATCATGCGCCAATGAGCAACTCTCATAGGAATGAATGAGGCCCCGCCTCCCACGCTGTATCCAGGTTATTCAGGTAAGTAAACTTTACTTTTTTTATCAGTAAAAAGTAGTGTTTTAGATCATAAGCAGAGTTGTGCAGTTCTATTTGTTGACCTATCCAAAGCTTTTGATACTGTCGATCATCGCATTTTGAAGCAAAGGCTGGTCAGTATAGGCATGTCCAACCATGCAGTAGGGTGGTTTGTAAACTACCTCTCTGAAAGGTCCCAATGTGTTCAGTTTGATGGGCTGTCTTCTGAGTGGTTAAACATCACTAATGGTGTACCACAAGGTTCAGTTTGAGGTCCGCTATTATTCTCTATCTATATTAATAGTTTAGGTGAAAATGTCGAAGGAGCAACCTTACATTTTTATGCGGACGATACCGTTATGTACTGTGCAGGTCCCTCGATTAACGAGGCTGTTGTTAAATTACAGGCTGTTTTTAACATTATTCAGGCTCAGCTCTCTGAGCTTAAGCTTCTTTTAAATGTGGATAAAACCAAGGTAATGCACTTTTCGAAAGCTAAAGCTAAAAATACACCAGAGACTGCTTTGGATATTGTAAATACGCAAGGAATACAACTTGAAGTGGTTACCTGTTACAAATACTTGGGTATCTGGCTTGATGACTGTCTCACTTTTAAACTTCATGTCAATAACCTGCTTAAAAAGCTGAGGGTTAGGCTAGGTTTCTTTTACAGAAATAAATCCTGTTTCTCGCTTGAGGCCAGGAAAAGGCTGGTCACTGTGATCTTTTTACCTGTGCTGGATTATGGTGATTTGTTATATATGAATGCACCTGCCAATTACCTGAGCAAGTTAGATGCTGCGTATCACAGTGCACTGAGATTTTTGACAAATTGTAAAGAACTTACGCATCACTGTACCCTGTATACCAAGGCGGTTATGCCATCACTTACTGTACGGAGGCTCAGTCACTGGTACTTTTTCATTTACAAAGCCATGTTGGATGAACTACCATCTTATATCTGCTCCCTGATCTCTCTGCGAATTGAAAGTACTTATTGCCTGAGATCGCATGCTGTGGTTTTATTAAATGTGCCAAGTGCTAGGACTGTTTTAGGGAAGAAAGCTTTTAGATGTGCAGCTCCACTAACATGGAACAGTCTGCAAAAATAATGGGAAATTACCAAGCTAGTACCACTACATGTTTTTAAAGCTCGGTTGGATGCTACAAAATCAGATGCTGTTGGTACCTGTACATGTGGTTAAATATGTAAATTGTAATCCCTGTACATTTTGCTGTATGATGTCCTTTTGTTGTTCTGTTTATGTTTGTATGTCTTCTTGTGGAACCTACTGCTGCAGGTCTCCCTTGAAAAAGAGATCATTGATCTTAATGGGATTTTACCTGGATAAATAAAGGTTTTGAATTGAATTGACATCAGGAACTTTTATTTTGTGCTGTTTTGGGTGGCCCCTGTGGACAAATGTCGAAGTTTTACTCCTAGCTAACACCGTCTTGATGCGTAAAGATCTTTATCTGTTTTGTGCATTTGTGTTGTAGACAGCCTATTCGTTATATTGGTTTACTTACTTATTAATCTCAACTTGGAACAAACTATTGTTGAATAATTGTAGGTCATAATGCTAATCATCATCACAGAAAACTTTGCTTGAGAAATAACAAATGGTTATGCTAGCTAGATTGAACTATTAGCGAGTGTAGCTTTGTTTTAACCACCAACCGCAAAGTGTATGTAATACCATTTATCGTAATGTGTATCATAAATCAAATTGAAATATGTGTCTTATGAAAATGTTAAAGCATGTCAACTTTACACTTTACTACTATCAATGTGTGCACTTCACATACATTCTGGAGAGAAGGGTCAATTAATATATTGTTTTCTTTTAATCAAATTGTTAATAGTCCAGAAGTGAACTAAACAAGATAAGAGAATGAAATGTTGAATGAACAAGTTGAATGAATATCTAAATAGGAATCAGGTTGAACTATCAGCAAGCTACTGCAAAAAAAATGTAGCTAAACTAGTTTAATTACATTTAGTTCACTATCCCCAGCACTGCTCTCATAGTGCAGAGGCCTCCCTTAGGGCGTCTGCAATCATGACAGCCAAAAAAGAGGCGAGTTTGACATTCTTTGAGAGGAGGAGTGGACATGCTTTGGTGGAAACATCAGACCCTGAATTCCTGCACAGTGCTCGGGCTATATTCTGTTGTGCATGCAGCCCACATGTGTGGAGTTGAACTTCCTCGTCCTGCAGAAGAAGAAGAAGAAGGAGGATAGAGGGCGTGACGTCGCTGCCCGCAGAGAGGCCCGCACGGTGCAGGAGACCGGGGCAGAGAGGCAGGAAACACCGCAGAGTACACACCGAGCACCGAACAACCGGCAACTTTGCAGAGGAGACACACAGCCATAATGCGGCACCGCCCGCCGACCCGCCAGCTGATGTGACCGTGCAGACGCAGGGAGGAAGCGGCGGACACCACCACCTCTCCCCGGTTGCCTCGCATTGTCGCGGTTGTCTGGAGAGAGGAGGAGGGAGGGGGGGACATGTCCTCGCTAACCGTGGAGGAGGACCAGAAATGGTTACCGACACAGGTCCAGGTGACGGTGCTGAGAGGCAGGGGCTTACGGGGCAAGGGCAAGCATGGCACCAGCGATGTGTACACCATCATCCAGCTGGGGAAGGAGAAATACTCGACCGGCGTGGTGGAGAAGACCACGGAGCCCGAGTGGAGGGAGGAGTGCTCGTTTGAGCTGCAGCCCGGCGTGCTGCAGGGCGGCGGGCGGAACGGAGGCTGTCCGGCCGGTGCAACCGAGCTGGTGCTCATCGTGATGCACCGGGCACATATGGGGATGGACGTGTTCCTGGGACAGGTTGTGATCCAGCTGGATAAGCTCTTCCATGAGAGTAGATGCGTGAAAAACGAGTAAGTTTAGCTGCACATGAATGTCATAGTAATGTGTGTGCATGTTTCTTTCTGGTTTCCCATGTTCATTGAACTCATCAGGGTGTTCTGATCTGCTTTTGTCCTTTGTTGAGTTGCTACTCAGTTTGTTTTCAGATATAAACACAGCTGGTGCTGCACCAGGGCCCTGCAGACACACCCTCCCTCCTCCCACAAACTATCTGACCACTATTCACCTCACACCAAAAACCTTCTAGAAACATCTCCCCTGCTGCAGGGTGTCCACACTAGGTTGTTTTGTTGTGGGTTGTTAAAATGTGGTTCCCAAATAGATGAGGCTTGATGTAGAGAATCAGGAGGATTAATGCCTGTCCCAATTCCAGGGATTATCTAACAGATTCATGATCCCAGAGCAGCAAGGTATTTTTAGCATAACATGTTGTTTTACAAAAGCCCACCCACCGAAGTTAAGAGGTGATGTGAAGTTAGATGTCGCTTACATTGCAACATTTTAATGGAAATCTTCACAAACAAAATGACCACTGGTATATCAACTGCTACTGTTATATGTAACGTTGAATTAGTGAATGGAAATGAGTTTTCTTGCATGCTTTCATGATGAATAAGAAATCAATTTGACAGAGAAAGTCTTGATGAACTTAAGTAATTAAATAGGGGCTGTGTTTAACAAGAGCAAAACTATATGAAAACAACTGTTTACAAACTCAACACACACCTGAATAATCCAAGTCTCATTGATACTCAACTCAAGAGATACTTTTTTGATGGTGAAGTATTACTTTAAACATTTGTCAAATCTCAAAGGCAGTTTCCATCAGTTTATGATCAATATGAGTTTTTTAACTCTCAGTTGCTTCTCACAATTATTTTCATCATTCATTAGGCTTTATAGATTAATCGTTCGCTATATAAAATGTCAGACAATAGTGGAACATTTAATTTATACGTGTTGGATTGTAGGTTTCTGCATTTGTTATCATAGAAACAAGTTGTGTGATTTAGTGGAGAGACTGAAGGCAGACCTGGTGTTTACTCCCGATACATTTAGCTGAAACATTTCCTGCTATCAAACCATAATGAGATGTGGTGGCATTTTGTTTACATTCTCCAAGACGAAGCACAAGATCTTGAAAGAGGATAGTTGGGGGGTTTTTGTGCAACTTTAATAAAAGTTTCATACTTTTTGTCTTAAACCGGACCTTAACAAAATCTAGACTGAGGCTATCTGCCTTTTTATCCTTTTGGATAATCAGAATAGCTTTATTAGTCCCACAGAGGGGAAATGTACGTTGTTGCAGCAGAAAAAGAGACGGCTTAATGTTACATATGTTACATGCCAAATGTAAAGTTGCCATATTTAGAAATAACTTGTACAAAAAGTAATACAACATGAATAAAATCAATTTTAAAGAAGTAATTATAATAATATAAAAAAGTTTTATTTGCAAAATACAGGATGCAGCTCTAAGTGTTTTAACAATATGGCACACAATACAAACCTTTTGTATTTCAAACGTCTTTTTTTTTAATGTGATTTACAAGATCAGATAGTTATCAGATCAGCATTAAGAAAATTTGTATGAGTGCCAGAGTATTTTCTGTCCAGCAGTCCAGGATGAGTCAGATTTGGTAGATGATCCAGGACATCCCCCGTCTTTCTGCCACCCTGTACCCTGAATATTTTGGCTTGTCGTGTACACAAACGTTCCTCTCTTCCTCTTTAGTTTCCCTGTCCTTTTAAGGCAGCTTTCTCTCAGGTGTGAATATGAGCTGAAAGGAGAAGCAGTCTCCTGTTGGTCACCTGAAGGTTAAAGTTAGAATGGGATGTTGAATCGTCAGCAGTTTGTTGTCGTGGTACATTCAGAGTCTCCATGTGGTATTCAGTCAATCTGGGATGGTCAACACTTCCCAAAGTCAACACTGCTCATGTGTGTCACGTCTTTGAAAAAAACATCGCCTCTAGTTTGACAGCAAACATCCACCAACACATGAACCAGATTTCATGAGAACATAGTTGTTTTTGTGCTAATTAAGGCAAGTGCTATAGAACGAGATGTTAAAGAAATAATCTACTATTCAAATTGTGAATTAGCCATCAAACCTGACTTCGATATGATTTTTAGTCTCAAATATCTACGACCTAAAATATATCATGTTTTTTTGTTTTAAAAGCAATATGCTGAAGCTATACTCTCTACAAAGCTACCAGACGCCATTGACGAAACAGTAGTTTTTCATTACAGTACACAGAAAATATTTTGGTAAATCAGTATCTAAAACGTGTAGTTTGTTAAAAATGTGTGATTAGGGTAATTCAGATCTAACCCTAAAACACCAGATAATGGTGTCAACAGCGGTTATTTTTCTGAGCTGAAATCACAAAGTTGTTTACCATCTCAAGTAAAAAAGGATAATTTGGCTTTTATCTTTTTGCATCTTTGAGAACACATTTTTTTTGCAGTATTTAAAACAACGTTTTTACCTCAGAATGATTTATGGTTTTGGGCTATTCCCAGTAACACCTTTAAAGTAAAGCTGTGATTTGTCTGATCGTTTAGCTCTCATGATAGAGGTATAAAAGGTTCTTCAAGGCTGATATTTAGTTTAAGGTGAGCTTTGTTTGCATAGTGATAAAACCTCAAAGAGGGAAGAATAGCGGCAGTAAAGTGTGATAATAAAAGTGCAATCAATTAGTGGCTGTGGTGCTTTTAAAACCAACACACACCTAATAAAGCAACATCAAAAGATACTTTACTTACAGATGACCACAATCTCTTTCAAATGTGTGTTTTACAGAGACGGAAGTGTCACATTTAGTATTGCAGAGGTTGAGGGCTGTGCAACAACTCCTTCAATGCAGTTTCTAATATTTTTATAAAGCTCTTTAGAGGATGTGGGGGGCGTCACTGTGATGTAGTGCTCTGGGTGGTACATTGAGCAAATGGAGATGCGTCAGGTTGAAATGGCTCTTTCTTCTGAACCTCAGACTTGTTTTATTTTCTCATCAGTTTTCACACAGGGTTCCTCTGAATCAGCGTGTTCCAGTCAGTGAAAATGAAGGATGAGGTTTACATTTAGGTTGTTAGGTTGGAGGAGATTCATTTTTTTCAGCACGTGATGGTTAAACTAGCGAGGATGTGCCAGAAGTGAAGACTCAAGTTGTGGACCTTGTGACTTTAGCCTCTCCAAAAATGGAAAAACATGAGAGCAAAAGTGTAAGGAAGAATTTAAATGTAATGTTTATCTGCTCTATCATGAGTTGCAATCGTTAGCATGCACAGCTAACTAGCCTTTACTTACAGTATTAATTTATTAACTGCTTATAAAACCACATCATTACAAAACTGCATATTTGATGCATAGTATTTTCCCACTTTATAGAAGCTGCTCAAGGATGCTATCAGATTTTAGGCTAGCGTTAGCAGCTCTAGCTTTTCCTATGTAAGCTAAGCAGACAACATGGGTTGTTAGAACAAGATAAAAGTCATATCCTTCATTTTATTTCTTGTCATCTTACAATGTATAATAAAACAGCAAGAACAAGGCTGTTTATATACAAAATGTCCATGTATTCTACATGATAATCAACTTGTTAGTATGCTGCTATTTTCCTGGGACGTGTTAGCTTTAGCCTCAGTCATTTAGCACATTATAATGTATCAAGCCATGAAATTAATATGTCTGATCCCTTTTGTAATATCCTCCATTGTTTAACAGGAAAAACGCATTCAAAAAGTGAGCTGGACACACTGTTCTCCACTAAATTATTGAGCTAACATTAGTTTTGAAGAGCTAGCTAGATGAAGCTAAGAAAATATGCTAGCAACAGCTGTCTTTAAATGTAATATACAAACTGTTTAATTAAATGATGCATCACATTTGATATAATAATTTGATAACCACAAGTTGCTGCATTACAGTGCGTCCAGTATTACACCAAACCAATATTCTGGAAGAGAGCGACACTCTAAATAACCAGTTATTATTATTATTAGGAGCTTAAATTAGGTCACAGTTATCACAAATTAGCATTGAGAACAGCAAATCAACCACATGAATGCTTTTTTTGTAAACATGTCCCAACACGTTCTGATCTTTAGTCGCCAATTTGTTCAGTAAATGTGAGCAGAGCAGCTGCCCATGACTGTATGGCATGGGAGGATGCAGTGGCTGTCGTGTATTTGCATGTTGAGCTATCAGTTTAGAGCAGTTTTTTCCGGTAAGGTGGGTGTTGGGTGCATTCCCCTGCAGGGTCTGTCAGGAGGCAGCTGCAGAAACACTGTGTACAAAACACCAGCAGGCAACCCACGTTTTTAACAACAAAAAGAGATTTGAGGAATTTGACATCACATTATTTCCCTTAATAATCGCGTTCTTCCCAAGAGATTAAGGTTACCATTTCAGCTCTTTTTTTCTGCAGATCAGTGATTCTTCTCGGTGTTGGTGGGGTGGTTATTGCAGTGCTGATATTTTCATTTTAGATGTTAGATTTCCAACCATTGCTTTTTTTCCATTGCTGCCTCAGTTTAACCCCTGTCATATTGTTTATCTATAGGAAGCAAATCTCTGCTGTTGTTTCAGACAAGTGAATGTTACTGAGGCAGGCCTGAGAACTACACCTCCATCTGCTGACTGTGTGTGTGTGTTTGTGTGTGTGATGTGCATCCAGACAAATCCCCTACTAAGAACAGACAGACCTCCAGTAGCTGCTGGAGAATACGGTCTAATGGACATTAGATGTTATATAACAGCATGGCCGGACAATCCTAGATGATTGAGACTCCGATTGTTGTAAACATAAAGAGATTTATCAGATTAACTTCAGTAGAAACACATTCTATAGGAAGCAGGATATATTGCAGGCTACATGTAACATGTACAGTATTGCTAGTGTCATATAGAGGCTGTTTTGTTGCATCATAAATGTCCCATCTGCCTTTATGAGATCCTCATGGAGACACAGTAAATAACTGTCGTGGTTTGGGTGAAAGAAACATTAA